TAGATAAAAGCATCCACCAAATGGCACATAATCGGTAGCCTGCCCAATCTACGAAAAAACACTCCTCCAGTGCAGCGGGAACACGTAATGGTGGTATTAGATGACAAAGAGTTGACGGCCAAACAGTTCCAATGGGCAAGAACCCAAAATCCCTCCAAGCTTTTTCCCACCTTAAGCTTCGTTTCTTTTGCCCCCCTTTTTGTCCAACAGTACTTTAATATTAATGCTAAGGATGCAGGCTTCTATTAAGCAACTAAAATTACAATTATGATGTTTTAAAATAACAAATGCTAATTGTCTTCTAAGCAGCGCACAAATGTAGAGCTTCAAGTGGACCATGAGGTCAGAGCAAGCCTGGTTTCTCTCTCACACCTCTCTGTCCATCTCAGGCTGTTACTGACTGTCTTGCAGTTCTCCTTCTTCCAATTCTCTCCACCTCTGTTTTACACCACACCTCTCTCCACATTGCCAGATTAACCTGCTGGGGGGCCTAAACACAAAAATTTACTCTGGCCTCCTGCCAGCTATGATATTTTCAATACAGAGTTCAAAATTACATTTTATAAAGGGCACTTCTTAAAGCCTTCATACTTTCAGATTATATTGTGCTTCTGTATAATGAAGGCTGTGTATATAGAAAAGAAGCCTCCACTTTAAACACTTAAAGTAGTTCATCTTAAATTCTTAAACCAAAATCTTGTTTTATATTCCACAATATTCACTTTTAAGCTACTGTTTCAGTGTCGTGCTGTTCATTGAAATGTGTCATAACATTTCAAGGTCAACTATCAAATTTCAAACACTTATTTTATGACATCTCAATTTTGTCTCAAGAACTTTCAAAGCACATTAAAGCTTTGGAAGAGGAAAGCAGTGGAGAGAATATGGTGCGATAAAAAAAAAGGCAAGCAGATGACAAGAATAAAAGGAAAATGGGGATAGGGAGTAAAAATGAATGTTCAGGGACAAGGAAGGATGGGAGGGGATGAGAGCTGAGCCAGAAAAAAAATTGAAGAATGACAGGAGAAACAGTGATGGGGGTGGAAGGGGTGGAGAAGGAGAAAATGAGAGATGGAACAAACCATCTGGAACATGAGACCAACTTCCGTGCCTCCTCAACATCTTATTTAGCCACGGAAGACTGCTGCTGCCAAGTGTGAATGTGTGTTTGTGTGCTTGAAGAACGTGCAAGAGCATGCTGCAGATTGGGGTTCTATCGTATAAATACTGAACATTATAAGAATTATAAATAGTAGACAACTATTAATAACTACTGTTATTTAAAATGCCAAACAGGGAAATCATTTATTTTGTCAGACCGTGTCAGGCAACAAGTTCTAACAGCTAAATGAAAACGTAGTAGCTAATAAGATAGGATGTGATTATGAGATCCTTAGGTTGTCTTATCACATCTTTTATTATTTCTTCCTCCGTCTAACATGAATGCAATTATTTATGCAGTTGCATTGTTGAAAACCACACACCATAATCACATCTTCACTAATATGATTGCGCATACGGCTGCTTTTGTCAGCACTATCTCTCCCATCTACATACAACCACAGAGTGGGCCGTGATTTGAATACCCAGAGATGAGAAAACGCTATGGTCAGCACTATTGGTCCGGCGTGTATAGCTGCATATTTGCCAACAGTTGTGACTATATGAGAGATTTTCCAAGTGGATCAAATGGTGCACAAATGAATTCCTGTTTAAACCAACCACAGCATTATCAATCCCCTGGAGGTTGGGGAATTTAATTTTTCCCAAAGAAAGGTGGCAGACTCGGCTGTGAACTACTGTCTCATGAGTCGAGGTAGTGTTGAAACTGCAGAATACATTAATGCACCTTTTTTTAACACTATTTCTTTTTCATTAAAATACACTATAATACCATGAAATAACTATTTTCCAACTCTAGTAAGTCATTCTCTAATTAGCTTTCACCCTGGGAATACTTGGAAATGGAAACTCAATTCCTGGCTTGAGAATAATATATTCCATGGTGACTTTCAATATCTTATTCATGAATTCAATTTACCCTGATAATGAACTGAGAGTTCTTGGAAATTAAACAACCTTTAACCTTGAGTTAACAAATGAAGAAGCTGTACTTCAGGGTAAAATAATAAAGTTACAGGTGTCTTTTGTCATACACAGAAAGTGAGATTATGACCTAAGGTGTGCTTACAAGCAGTAGCTACCTTTTATGAGGACACAAGTTTATTTTTAGACATATTCAATCTTTTTTTTTTATCATCCTATGGTAATCACTTAACATTTCAGATGGGTAACTGGATTTCCCCCGAAACATTTTATGAGGTGTATTAAATGTGTCAATAACAAAACATGTAATACATTGAAATACCTCTACTTAATAGGAGAAACAACGTGCCTTTTAAAAAGACAACCAGTTAAGAGCTTGAGTGATTGCTGACAACTTTAGGTGTCGACACAACAGCCATAAAAATAAATGTACAGTATGTGTCAAACTCTGATGTCTGTAATTTGACAAATCTTAACAATACTCACCCCATTCTTAGGATAGGCCACCCATCCGAGGTCTCCCATCACAGAGCGAGAATCCAGCAGGTTCACTGTTAAAGATTAAGAACACAGACTTTAAGCATAGACAAACAACCAATTAGTCAAAACAAAGCCAAGAGCCATGACATTTTGACTTCCTCATCCTGTAACACAGCTTTTAACACTCTCATTGTGTGGTCCCCACCTAGAAGTGTACTTTTCTGTGAAGTTTTATATTCTTATTTTTATTTACTAATGCGGCCAAGGATAAAACCACATAAAATAATTTTTAGGTCAATTTCAGGTGCACCACAAAGGTGGACTGCTGTGTATATTCAAATGTGACTTGAATTGATACAATCCCAATGACAAAAAAAAACAAAAACAAAACAACGTTCGATATGTAGCGATATTGTAAATTCACTCCCGATCTGTTCCTCTGACCAAATCTTAAAAGACGGGTACTGCAATATAATTTCCAATAAATTTCTTCTCTGAATGTGTGTCTCTCTTAAAGGCTGATGATATAAAGAGCACTTTCAATTTGTAATATACAAAACTGGTATTAAATGAATAGGAAGATGTTTTGTGTATAGTAGTTTAAATGCCACGTCAAGAGTCAGAGTTGACCTAACACTTGGCATGGCCTGGAGTGCTGTGCTAAGAACAGTGGCTATTATCTATTTACACTCTTTAGTGGAACTGCACTTTTGTGCATCTTGTGGACCTAAAACTGCCACTAACTCTATTCTCAAACATTGCTCTCAGCTCAAACTGGTCCATTAAAATCCTCCTTTCCCAGCCTCTCAGTTGAAAGCTGTCAAGTGCAATTACCTGACCACTGCACTCCTCAAAACATGTTTCCATCTCCACTTCTGCAGCACTGGTGACAGTGCAGCCTTGTGAGTTCTGTCTTATCTTCCCTATCAGTGTGGCCAAATGCCTCTACAGCAAAGTCCTAAAAGTTCTTGTCAGAAGTGCATTTCAATTGTGAGCTCACAGAGGAGTTTTTGGACACATTCAGAGGCACTTTACAAGTCAACATTGTGAACATGTCATCAGTCTGCAACCTTTTCTAACAACATGGAGCTCAGCTTGAAGCCTGTTCATAATAGTGCTCAATATGACCATTTGATCCATAGTTATGTTTCAGTTATTGGATGATGTTTCTACGGCATGTTACATAAAGTGAAAATGAAAGTGAAAAATTCCTCAAGAGCATTTTCACAGACACTGAACACAGTAAATCACATCAATGAACATATGGAGTGTCTCATGTTAGGCTATCTAATAAAAGCCTCAGAACTCCTCTGAGATTGCCATGACATGACATGGCACCATCATAAACATGACTCAAGTTTTGTCAGGCCGGAGTTCAGTTTTCTTTATCTCATCTGCGATAAAGTTTGACTTGTTTTGTGTCTGACAAAGTATGTACTGTAATTAAAGATAAAATCCAACTAAATGATCCATTATCATTTACAGGTTTTTGTCTCCATAAAATGAGAGGAGTTTTTTAAAGTTGTATCTGTTTAATTTTCTTATATTTCTTCCAGCTACGGAAGAAATATAAGAAAATTACTATTTTAGTCCTTTTGTTTTACAAGTTTAAGTATAAAAATATCTTCTACGCGTTTCTGTCTTAGTGCTGAATAAACACATTATATAGACATTAACCTATTCTGAGAGGCATACAGTTTATATATTTATTGCTTTAGTATAACCTGTTTAGGTTTGTCTACGCCCATATCACACACAGTGAACCCACCTGACACGTGTGATCTACTCTAACTCTGATCAGTAACTTCTTCACACATATTATTAGCTGCATCCTGCATGCTGTCACCTCTAGGTTCCTCTAAAAGGTATATCAAGTTGGGGGCCAAGATCACCCACTCTTAACCCTGAAATAAGTCATATACAAGATTTTTAACCATTGTCAATATAAACTGTAGTTAACAGCTATGTTCCTAACTTGGTCCACTAAACTGAGTAAACCTGGGATAAAATATAATCACACTCACAAGAGAAACACCCAACAATTAAAAATATGCAAATCCAAAACACTTGGTATGGCAACATTTGTTTAAGTGTCATATTTGTATTTTCCCATGAAATCAGCATTAAAATGTCTATTCAAATTTCTATTACTGTCTTTGGGAAGGTATAACTAACGTGCCATCCATAACAACTGGTGTGGATTTTGGGATTGGATATGTCAGTTATTTTCCCACAGGATGTGACAAATTAAAATTGTGTGCGAGAACAGAGAAAGCTGGACTGCACATTATTAGATATTGTTCTTCTCTCTTCCCTTGGAATTAAAGGAAGCATCACAGACTAAGTAGGCTGGTAAAACTCTTTATGACTTAACCCTGCAAGAATTCTGGGCACTGAAGTTAAACATTTTCAAAGCTTTACTGCAGTTGCTGCATTTTGGAGCTGCCTAGTATAACATTAATACAGAGCAAACAGTTTTACTGTACATGAGATCAACAATTAATCTCATAAATGCTGGCAATATCTCAAACCAGCTGTTGAGTGCAATACTTTCAGTACCATGTCCGATGATAATCCATGTTATAAACCAGTCGATCTTATGAACCTTGCTCCAATGTCAACAAAAGAACAGACATCCACAGCGAGGAGGTGGCGTAAACAGAGCAAAATATGAAGTAAGAGCTAGTTCTCTGTGACACACTCGCCCTGAAACCCCTCCCAACACACACACACACTCACACTACTCTAGTCTTACTGTCTCCACCGCTCTGCAGAGAATAATAAAAGATGTCCTTAGGAGGCGATTAGACAACTAATTAGGCCATAAAGAAGAGATAAGTGATGCTGAACTAGATCATAAGGGATACGTTACCTCTTTCACTCTCTGTCGCTCTCTAAGGATCAAACCACCTAACAAGTTAGAGCACAGCCGTGACAATCATCTACAGAACTTATTATTAAAAGTCATCACCACTGAATGAAGAGTGATTTAAAGTCTCGTAGAGACCTTACTTCAAGGATACGCTAAGTATTTCAAATATCTTGAAGAGTAAGTGGATTTTCTGTGTGGGGAATACTGATAAAATTCTCCTTGAAATGACAACTGAATATTTGATCTGAGATGCACAAGGCTGTCTGGGTATTTATTTTCAGTTGCACACTTGCAGTCAGGTGATGGGTTTAAGTGCCTCTGTGACCTCAGTGATCCCAAATACAATCTTGTTTGAAACTATATTTTTCTCCCTACTACTGTTAAAGCAAAAAAGTCCACAACACATTTGCCTCTTTCCTCAGTCCTTTTTTTTCCCTGTCTGATATCTGATTGTGGCATTTGCATGTTAGCTTGCATCGCTCTGGGCTAAATGGCTTGCCTTCTCTCTCACACACATAGACACAGACAAACAGGCACTTCTTTCAAGCCATTTACTACAATTAACCCAAATCCTCCATCCTCATTTGATTAACACCGTTACACACAAAAAGCAAAGTGATGGGTTTTAAACTCCCTAAAGTGTAGGCTCGCACACCCGAGATCGTCCTCATTAGTCAGAAGTTATTATTACCCGAACACAATAACAATCTCTAAAAACAGATGTGAGGCATCTGGCTCTGTATCGAGATGTTCTCAGAAATTGAGCAATTTAAATAAGAATAGATTAGCTGCAAGAGAGGAAATTAATCAAGGTGGCACAGTGTGTACAGTTTTACTCAGTATCATTCATCAGTGGTGGCGCCTCACTGCAGGATAGCTGTCCTCACTGTTACAGAAATGTTAATATAATTAACAAGAAATCAGGACTTTTCTACTTTTTTTCAGGGTACAAACTTTACATATAGAGGCAAAAGAAAAGGTGAACTTCAATTTGAAAAACAGTCTGCTGTGTAATGTGAGGACACATAGGTGGCCCAAATCAGCATGTAGCCTGATAGGATGTTTCTCTCATACTAAGACAGAAAATTGAGATGGGCAAGTGGCCGAAGTCCCCAATGATTCTTCAAAGATGTCTAATGATGAGCTGAAAAATAGTTTAATCTTACTTTTTCAATTACAATAAACTGACCCAATGAGAGAATAGCAGCTATTTTAATTATGGGCTTCACGTTCCTCTCCCATTATGCATGCGATGTATGATGATTCATCGCAATGCAAACAGGCCAAATTAATCTAAAATTTGCGTTTGTGGCCGGCGCTGGCAGCAGCTTCTTAAGGTGTTACACGATCAACGGTTTTGCAGTCAGAGCTGACGCATACATAAAACAGGTTTATGAACAGCGTGTTGGCGCAGAGCAAAACAAAGGACAGGTTTGATAAATGAAGACCGCAAAGAAAAGATGATGTGAGAGATCAAATGTGGGTGTGTTTTTGAGGACTTATCTCTCTTCATTCACTGCAAACTTATGATCCAGTCTGCCAATGATTCACAATTCTCACAGCCTGGAGCTTGCTTTTAATGGAATTTTAATATTAAATTGCAGATATTGGTTATGGTGCCAAAGACAACAAACCCAATGAGTTATTACTTAGATAGATTTTAAGTAAAATACTCCTTTTAACTGAACTTTTCATTCTTTTGTGGAACTTGTATGTCAGTTTGCACCAGTATAAAAAATGAACTTCATTCTATAGAGCACAAATAGAAATGCCCAACCCCCTAGTGCTTCACAGACCGATACAAAGAGGTATTCTAGGTGAACTTTAACTATTTTATGTATTGCCAAAGCATGCCCTGCAAATCGCTCCAGGACTGTCCTGTGGTCACACAACCACTTTTGTGAATCCAAACTTTGACCAAATAAATATGCCTTGTGAAGAATAGGCAGGTTGATGAATGTCCTCTCCTTCCCGGATAATGCTGTCTAATAGCCCCAAACAATGGTGTTCATCTCGAGCTATTAAAATGCTGCTCAGTCTGCGGACAATAGCGTGGGAACAGTATTTGACACACTGTTAGATAATCTTTTTTTCCTTTTCTTTTAAGCCACTTTGCAAATGTCCATGTTTGGCGTTTTGTGAAGGGATGCTGGTATATTAGTTCAGTTGGGATAAAAACTGATTAGTTAACAGTTTGCA